TACCACCCGTTAGTAAATAAAAATGCTACTTTTTTTTCCAGTGCACTTTTTGTATTCTAAACTTGATTTGTTGTTAAACGCTAATATGATCTAAGATGCAGCGAAGTCCATACTCTCTCTCTATATATGATATGTCATTAAATGAATGAAGTGTATCGATACGAACAAAAAAAACAAAGGGGGAGAAATTCAATTGCACCCCGCAGTAGTTGTCTCTGGTTAAACATGTCAGCTTATTAAACATATGGTGGATAGGAACGTCTAAAAAATTGCGTCTTAGTGTTTTCTTTTTTTAAACTGTTGGATTATAAATAAGGTTATGACCAAACATCATTCTAAAATGGATGATGCTTGAAAAAATTTGTTTTTCTTAATCCCCTAAGCTCTTTAGATGTGCGTTTGATACAGTTTTTTCTTTTTTACTTACTGGTGTGTACATCCGCTGTTTGCGTGTAGATTTTTTTGGTTTATATATTTTTTTTTTATTAGTACTTGTGGATTAGATTTTCTCTTGATACATTGTGTGTTTTCTGATTGACTATATAAATGTTAGGTTTGGCTTTTCCATTATTATCTGCGTCAAATTGAAAGTCTTCATTTTGTACCCTAATAGGGCTATGTTGACAAACTGTTTTCGTTGTCACTTTCTAAATGTCATTATTCGCGAAAATACATGGTTGAATAAAACATATATAATTTAGAATGTAAAATTCTCTTCGATCTTTTCTGTATGGTTTAGATGTATTTACACGATTTACTTTCAGCACGGATTTACATTTCATTGATTAGTTTCCATTTTAATTAGTTTTTTTTTCATGAAAAAGTATAATTTTTGCTTTAGAGGATTTACTTTCCGTTGATTACATAAAAATATATTCCAATAAGCCACTTTCTTGTACAGAGATTTACTTTCCACTGATTATTTGAGCGAAAAGAAATGAGCAAATGATATTGCAACAATCCATATAACGAAAAACGATGTCTCTTTAACTATACGATCTATTAGATCAGATTCTTCAATAACTTTGCGCTTTAAATTTTTTCGAATTTGTAATACTTCCGCATCAGTTAAACTTAGCAGACATTTTTAATAAAAAATGTGAGATCAGAGCTGTGCATTTCTATCCTTATATACATTTTTACAAAGATTATCATACTGATGACTATTCCAATTCCAAATACGTAATTCCGTTGAATATGATGATTACCGCTCTACTTTCCCAGCATTTCCCATTATTTAGCATCTAGATTTCTCGTGCATTTCTCATTCCGAGTCTGAACTTTAGTTAATTATTCTCCTATTGGTGAGTGTTTGTTTCGTTTGGAAAATTTATGGGTTGTCGCAATGACTATTCCTTTGCTCATTTCTTTTCGCCCAAATAATCAGTGGAAGGTAAGTCCCTGTACAAGAAAGTGGCTTATTGGAATATATTTTTATGTAATCAACGGAAAATAAATCCTCTGAAGAAAAAATTATACTTTTCTGTGGAAAAAAACTAATTAAAATAGAAATTAATTAATGGAAAGTAAATCTTGTACTCGATATGAATGTTGTATGATATATTTAAGATAAGATTAAGTGAATTTTTAGAACAATATCCGATTTATACCTCGCATTATATTATTTAGCAAGAATTGGTTAAGATGCACTGATAATACGGGTGAAAAATATAGTTTATAGGAAACATTTGAACAGATTGAAACACTTATTTTGCCTTATGTGATTAAATGCTTTTAATCCATTTGGTCTTCTGTTCTTGACGAGAATTTGGACAAAATTGACGCAATTGAAGCATGACACATCACGCTACTATGGTGATGGTGGTGGCGGTAAATTTGAGAATAACAGTCCTATTTTAATCATATCTGATTATTTTTTTTCACATTTTTTATTTTATTTCCTGTTTTCCTAGAAAAGTTTATCTAGTTTCCTGAATTTCAAAAAAACACTCTTCTTCCGTTTCGGCTTTCTGAAAGTGGCCATCAAGCACTAATCCTGATAATATATAGCACATTCATCTTATATTAGCAATATATATTATAGTTTTTTTCATTGTTCAAATTCGAGTCTGTATTAACTGTTCAACAAGGGATTATCATCAAAATTTGACTTAGATACTTTTGTGAAACTAAATAATTGGATGATGTAGTAGTACGATGTGAGTTAATAATTGATCTTTTCAGTTCTCTGAAATCTTAGTCATCAACAGACATTTCATGGCGAATATTTTTTATCACTAGTCATTTTAAAAGATAGTATTTATGAACGATTTCTCAATAACATTCGATAGAAAAATGATAGACATCAAGAGTTTTCATCAACCAATAAAGAAGACCGAGGCACATCGTTTCATCAAACTTGTTGAAAAAGAAATGGAAATTTTCAAAAATTCGACTAACAATATATTAATATTTTAACATGAGAAGAGCGTGCAGAGATGTTTTCTTATTAAAATAGAACTAATCTTTATTTTTAACGGTTTAGTTGTGACATCCGATGTCTAGATTCGGCCATATTGTACTTCGTGATACTGTCTATTTTTTTTTTGTTTTTGAAGAAAACTATAAAATCCTAGAGAAAATCTAATTCTAATAACATAATTGAGTTTTACGTATTTTCATAAAATATTACATCTTGCAAAAACTCGAACCAAATGACTGGAAAAATTTTAATATAGACTTAGTTAGATGTGCTTATTATCACTAAATAACTATACAATTAAAAAATCTTTAAAAATGAATATGAATTTTCACATAGTTTCCTATAAAACTTCATGAATAAAACGATATTATTTTTTTTTTTAATTTTACTTTTAAATTATAACAGAATTAGACTTTTAAAAATTCAATCTGATTTTTCAACAATCCTCTTAATACTTTATCTTTGAGATAAAATTTTTAAATTTTTTATAATTGAAAATATATGTGTCACGGTCTCCTCCTATATTGTTTGATGAAAATTGAAGATATCAATTTATCAAACATTATTGAAATGAATAGTTGTAATGTAGATAAGAAGTTCTTTCATCATGCAGTTGAGTCTGTGTACTCTATATTAATTTTAAATATGAAAAGTAATCAGGATTAATTATTAGAATTACTATAATTTCTCATACTTTTATTTCATATAAATAGGAAACTAGTCTTTTGTGAAAACTATAACTAGGTCATGTTAACTAATATCAACTTCCATTTGACGCGATCATATTGCATGTTCCGAAAGATTGAAACTACGTCGTTCTTTTTCTCAAGAGTTACTATTTAAAAGTGTAACAGGCCATTAACATGTTTTTAAAAAAAATAATTATTCGACTTCTAAACAATTTATTGTTTAAGTTAATCTTTTACCTTTGGCATCTGATCATGTAAAGTGAACTTAAAACTCGTATATCTTTATTTTTAGACAAACATAATGAAAAAAAAAAAACAAATTTTAATCAACAAATACTAATTTTATGATATCAGATTACCATTTTTAATTTTTATGCAAACTCATTTTCATCTTATTATAACTATTGTACGATGATTAACAATATCATCGTTTGTAGATAGGCGTGAATAAAAAATTAATCTATACAGTTGACTGCTCACTACAAAAAGCGAATGTAAGATTTATGCGAAATGTAAATAGATTTTTAAATATGAAAACATTAATTTTTTTACTAATCGTCTTATGATGATATATTTGTTTTTTCTATTCTCTATACGATCTCTTTTTTTTTTTTTTTTTTCTATAATTCTTCTCAGTAATATATAAAATTACCAGACAGTTCATGTCATCCTTATCATTACATCGTTATTCTTTTTCTTTCCATTTACACAAAAATGTTTTATTTTTTTTATTTTTTGTCATTTTATAATATTTTGACAAAAATAATCATTTTTTACTAGTGAACAAACAATTTTGAATTCATTTTTTTAAATTCTATTTTTTGTTTTTATTTTTTTTTGATAGTAAAAACAGTTTATTATTTATTCAATGGATTCTAATCAGACGATAGACAACAATGTTCATTTACTATTCAAATATTCTTTAACATTTATTAATTTAAAAGATTTAAAAATGTACGAAATTATTATACTTATATCTTATTCGTTTATGATATGTTTATCATTTTTTACAAATTTAATTGCTATTCTTGTATTTATGTTTGGTAGACGATCAAGAACAGCATTATCACCATTTTTATTAAATTTAAGTGTATTTAATATTATAATGACAGTTTATTGTATTCCATTTACAATAACATCAGTCATATTTCAACGATGGTTATATCCAAAATATTTATGTATTATATTAGAATCATTAAAAATGTTTTCTGTTTCCGGTGTTTTATTAACACTTATTACAATAGCAATTGATCGATATTGTGTTGTTAAATATCCACTTGAATGTAAATTATATCCTATTCATAAACGAAATTTAATTGCACTTATAATTATTTGGATTATTAGTTTATTAATTGCTATATCATGGTTTCCAGCACGTTCTCGTCCAATAGATGAAAAACGATTATGGGTATCATCTCGTAAATTATACGAAAGTTTTTTAGATAAATTTATTGATAATCAAACACAATTACATAATGATGATTATTTATTTAAAAAATTTGATTATAGAGTGATTAATACTATACAATGTGTACCAGATAATCGTACAAATTCAGATGAGGTTCGACGAACTATTCTAACATTTATGCAAACATATTTTATACCATTGTTTATATTGGCATTTGTTTATCTAAGAATATCAGCAATACTTTTGAGACGATCGAGTAGTTCAACACCGTCAAAACATATTTATGTTCATTCAAATAATGATGCACAATTTAAAAAAAAATTAAAACAGGTAGGTGACTAGTAGACATATGATACAATTTTATTTCTTATTTTGAATAATATTGAAAGAAATAACATGTCACATGTGTAATTAAATTAATGAAAAGAAATCGAAACCTTGTCCTACTTTCATATATTGGAATGAAAACGTCTCATTGTAAGAATATGATATGTATCAAGTAAAACTGTTTATGACTGAACAACAATTTGCTATTGTCAAATTACATTTACTTTTACATTAAGAGTTAATCTATCATGCATCTAAATGAGCTATTAACGACAAGAAATTATTTTATTTATAAAGAATGTCGCAGGTAGTTTTCAGTGCAAAAGAATTTTTTCCTTTTTTTTATCTATTATAAACTATCTGCTGCTGAAATTACAAATTCAACATAAACAGCATTTTTGGAACTTTTCAAAAATGTAAATTTTATCAACTTTTATCTAGATTTATATTCAGTGGTGTATATATTCTTTTTAGGGTATTAAAATGCTTGTTATTGTAATTATTTTATATGCTTTATTGTGGTTACCAATGAATGTTTTTCAATTATGTTTAAATATATTTTGTTATCCTGATAATCCTTATTCACATTTTTGTGGTAATATGTTATTAATACAATTACTCTATATTAGCTGTCATTATTTGACGGTATCTAATACAGCGATTAATCCTATCATTTATGGATTTGCAAATAAAAAATTTCGAGTAATCATATAACTATAAGATCTATTTAATCAAACAATTATTTGTTATTTTTCTTCATTTATCATTCTAGTCTGATATAAAACAACTTCGACACCGTCTAATTCAATTTCAAACATCACGAAAATCTGCTCAAAGACGACTTACACCTCAAAAAAATGCTGAAAATTATCGACTTAAAGATAGAATTGATCAAAATCATGTTGTTCCAAAGAAATTATATACTTCTACATCAAATCGAACAAAACCGGCTGCTATCTGTACTTATGTATTTACAAACAGAACGAAGAGAACCACAAATGACACAACTGCAGCTACTGGAAAATAAACTCATTCATGCACTGTTCATCGTTTTTATTTCTTTTCAACGACAAAATAGAGACATTTGTGAAATGCTTTTTCGATGAAATAACTACTAGATTTACAGTAGCAATCATGTAAATAAAACTTTGAAGAAGAAACCACAACATGATGAGGGACAAGAAAAAAATTGACGGTTTCGAATAAAAGGTGTGATTTTTAATGTATGACTTTGTGATATTTTCCATGCGCACTGAGTATTTGATCATAAAACTTTTCCTTATAACCTATGGCACATAAGAATTTTATAAAGGTATCAATTAGAGCGAAATGTTTCTCTTTAATCATAGGAAAAAAACTATGACATCTAAAGCGGAAATATTTTTAGTTTATTTACGGTTCGTTGACCTTGTAGAATTTTTTGACTATTTATATGCTTTTATTCCTTCTAGATACTGTATAATAGTACCATTAAAATTTTTTCCTCCCATAACGTGTCCAGTAGAGGATCCATAGAGCGTTTTCAAAATCATCGTTTCAATAATTTCGTCTAGACAAAAACATTTCTAACAAAACTTTATTCTATTCAAATAATTTATTGAAAATCTTGCAATATGCAATATACAGGTATTTATGAGACAATAAATGAAAATTTTTGAAAAAAAAAATAATTTAAAACGTATACGATTGTAACACTCAATCTATCTTAAAATTTTTATTTTAAATATTACTCTACAATTCAAATAACGTTATGAAAAATAATATTGCTAATATTTTTTAATTTTGCTCTTAAGGTATGAATCCTTCTACTGCGCATCATTACGCACGGGTAGCAGATAAAATGCGTCATTATCAAAACCACACCAACCATCATACAGGAGGTATGCACAATGTCCATGGAGAAGTATACAGGCCCCAAGGATCAAATATGCATGCAGCAGCATCAAATTTTGTTTCATCAGGAATGAGTCAAATTGGGATTCCCGGGACAGTGGCAAACAATATGGGCGATATTGCCGGTAACCGTCTTCACAAATATTTCTTTAGAAGAGCATAATTTTGAGTTTAATTACTGAATATATCTATACTTTTTTAAAGATGTATGTCTGCTATTTTTGATATATTAAAAAGAGAACAAATTAAACGCTCAGTATTTTTTTTTGTAAACGCTCAGTATAATTTGCTTAGAATTATATACAAATCATCAGTAAATAAATCAAACTATCAGTATAAAATTTAATGTTCGGTAACTATTATGTTTACAAATGAAAACATTTTGGTGTAAATAGAAGAATGGTTGTTCACGTCAACTATGATGACATTACCAGTCAAAAGAATTTCGTATAATATACAGCCTAAGATAAATGGGTAGTAACTGTACAAACGGCTGTATATTATACGAAATTCTTTTGACTGATGATGTCAACATAGTTGACCAAAGGACGGGGGCGATTATTTGATGGATTCGGTCCCTACTTGAATTCCATCGATACACAAATGGTTAGATGCAGAATGAACAGGAGAATATTTCTAGTCACTCGGCAGACCTTAGAAATGCTCTCAGAAAATGCTTGTAGAGAATTTCAAGGGCTATCCAGTGGTATGTTTTCGAACAATACATAATTTTCATTATGGCAGAAAAAACTAACGGAGTGTTGAAAGCACCAGGATACGTCAAAATCATTATATCGGTCAAGTATTTCAACTGTTGACCCATGTGGCCATATTTCTGAAAAACTTATTTATAGCTTACATTTTGAAGCTTGTGAAATTCTCTATCGATTGGTATACCTATCGTAGTGGCTAGATGATAAAGAATGCCATAGATTATCTTAGACGTTTTGCATGTAGGAGAATATTTTTCATAGACGGAAGTATATCTAAACATACTTGGCTTCAGAACGAGTATTTCCGTATATGTGATATACAGAAATATAGCGCAGAAGAAGAGCTTTCGAATGACATATAATAGTTCTACTGAGGTATGAGGGCGAGAGAGACACACTTGAGAATATAATCAGTAATACATGTCAGAAGTGATTACAGTTAATTGGATCCAATTTTTTCTGAGAGCATTTCTAAGGTCTGCCGAGTGACTAGAAATGTTCTCCTATTCATTCTGCATCTAACCATTTATGTGTCGATGGAATTCAAGTAGGGGCCGAATCCATCAAATAATCGCCCCCGTCTTTTCTCGAAATAAAATAAATTGCTTAAATCGTGGATTATTCTATTTTACTTGCATCAGTAACTAATTGAATATTTAACAGTAAGTCATGATGTTATATAAACAATAAAAATTTTCAAAAAATTGTAATATATTATTGCTAATTTGGTTTAAAAAATGGCAACGGCGATGGAAATTATTGAAGTATCAGTTTATGTTTCTGACGAGGAGATAAATACAAATGAAACTATAAATAATGGAAACAAGAAAAGAGCAAAAAGGTGAACAAGCGTTTTAAAATTACGCTTGATATGATGGTAGAAATACACTCAGTCATTCAGTTCCATTACAAATGGATGGTAAATGACACACGCTCATCAATTTTAATTTCTTCTTCAAAATTTTGATTAAATCAACTAATTTCTTTCTCCTCTAGAGTCGATGTCTCACACGACGCTATATTGGGCATCTCATTTGTCTTAATTGTAGCCATGTATCCGGCTATATATGTATATATATCTAAGAAAAATAATACTAATAATTGAGCAACTCATGGTTATCTAGATTACCAGTAGATAAATTAAAATGGTTAGATGGTGTGTGCAATTGTTCAGCATTTTTCAAAAAATTTATGTATAAACATGTCATCGGTATGGCAATTAGATTAAACTGCTGCAAACCGCCACCTGCTGCTAAAGATGTTAAAATTAATTAATGAAAAAACATGTCGTGATAGACCATCAAAATCTTAAAAAGCATTACTGATGCAATAAACTTCTTGTTAATTGTAATTATACTATTTTTACTGATATAAATTAATAAAAAACTGAACAAAAAATTACTGAGCAAAAAATTCTAAGCGTGTAATAAAACACATACTGAGCGTTCATTATAAAATGCTAAGCAATTAAATACAAGCCTATTAAAAACAAATATATACGCTGTAGTTTTGAAAACATGTAGCTGCGTAAAATAAACATTAGGTTAAGAAGTAAAAACGAGAAAAGACAAGTCGCTTAGACAAAAATGTAAAAATTCGATTCTTCATTCAGTACAAGAGCTAAAGGTCTGAATCCATGGGTATTATTAATACATGACTAAGCTGTAATTAGAAAAAAATTGAGCACTTAAATCGCTCTTTTGACTGAGTTATAAAATATTGAGTGTAGGGATCGCCCTTCTCGCCGAAACGAAAAAATTCGATCACTTTTGAAGGAAGCAACATGGGCCCAAATTCTTTTAGACTTTTCTCAAGGCAATGGGTCCTTAATATCGGCAAAATATGGTTGAAAACGGGGTAGTCATGTAGGGCGGTGCTCTCGTAAGTACTATACGAACAGTGGATATTTATCTATCATTCGATTGTGTATTAAACTGTACAGGTTTTTTTATTACCGGGTGTCCCAAAAGTCCGGCCAGAAAGAAAATCTTAATAACTCCACCATTTCTTAACCAAACTTCAAGGTGGTCTTTTTGTTTGATAGAGAAACGCTCCAAGTTTTATTTCATACGATTGGAAATTTTTGTGTAAAAAAGGATCAGTACGGAAAAATAATAAAACTTCCAACATATGTTTTCTGTTTAAGTACTTGTAATAGTGCGTAAAGATTGTTGAGTTTGTCATAATTAAATGGAATCTTTATCAGAGTCGCACTACGTCTCATTTTGTAGAACTTAGGTTGCTCTACAATCCTACATATTCAAATGTTTTGTCCAGCTTAAAGTTTTGCCACAAGAAGTTAATTTCTCCATATTAGCATGATCTAGGGATTGCGACTTCTGCAATAGCCTGATACAATCTTTTACAGGCTTTCAAACTATTCCAGTTTATAAGGCTACCTTCTTCCTATAGAATTCCACTAGTAGTTTTTCCTTTTATTAGTTAACTTTATCTGAAAAATGTTTTTATTACTTTTTTGCACTTTTCCAGATGCTAGTATGGAATAACAATTGCTGAAGAAATCCACACCAACCGGTCATTTTTAAACAAAAGCAAATTCTTATTTCATTATGTGAAAGCCACCATCATCTACTTTATTTTAATATTAAAAATTATTTATGTTCTTTTCAAAAAGTTTTGCAGTACATAATTTATTAAAAACGAGTTCCAAAATATCGGAATTCCACTATAATAAACCCAAACATCTTTTCAAATATTAACAAGAGTTTCCAATCGTATGAAATAAACTTCGAGCGTTTCTCTATCAAACAAAAACACAACCTTGAAGTTTGGCTAAGAAATGGCGGAGTTATTAAAAAAAATTTTCTCGCCGGACTTTTGGGACACCCGGTATAAGGCAAAACAATTTATTTTTATGTATGTTTTTTATTTCACACCAATTAAATGCATTAACTCCATATACTTCATCGAAATGATGAAAGGAGGAAACCTATTTTCACCTATAGGTGATTGTAACCTTGCAACTATTAATTTATCGGAAATGATAAAATTTAATCTATATCAAAACTAGACCTCGCGACCCTCTGACCTATATCAAAGAGTCTCGCAGTCTATTTCTATAAAACAGAATTCAATCGACCATTCCAAAGATTTTTTGTTTATAGGGGATTTTTATACAAGCTCAAGCTCAAGATACAGAGTTTTGTTTTATTCTAATAGAAGTCGTGCTAAGAGCGGTTATCAGTTTTCTGACCTATCCTATTAAAACAGAATAAATATTAGAACTTTTAACTATATTTTCAGCCAGGTCTAGCTAAGGGTTATTTATAAAAGTTTCTAAGACTACATGTGGTTTCGAATCTAAAATGTTGGAGTTTAAAGTTAATATTACGAACAAAATAAGTCATTGTGTTAGATACTTTTCTCCCTGTGGATGGAACGAATTTCATGTTCTCTATGGTATATATGGAGTACATCATAGGTACTACAGCAGGATTTGGAAGATGACCTAAAATGGCTTGAAGGATTCAGTTAGAGGAATCAGCTCTTAGTGTCATATTCCAGTTAACCGATTTTCCTCCAACACATCAGAAGTATATCAAAATCAGTTTTCATACGTAGTTTTTGATGAAGAATATGATAATGATGGTAAATGTACATGCACAGTGGGACTTACACAGTATAATCATCTAGGGGGGAAAAGTAGTACTAATACCGGAAAAAATACCGATAACATACCGGTCGCATATCCACCACATAGCATTCACATATCAAAAATACCACCCACATGCCAGTCACACACTAGAAATATGAAGAAGTTCTGGTCTTTGTAGATCAATGAATTTGGCTAGGAATTTGACTTTCATCTTCTTTCATGTTCATAAAATGGTTTACCTACTATTCAGATTAGTTTACTACTAATATCTTTTTGTATCAGTGTAAGTGATTAAAACAAGAATTGTTTCCAAATGATCTAGGCATGCACTGATTCCGGTTCGAACCGATGAAATTAGAACCGAAAACGAATAAGAAATATATGTAAAAGTCGAAAATTTAGCACAACTTTGATGTTTTTATTCTTTTTCTAAAGTTGTTTACTTCTAAGCTGTTGTTTTTTCTTAAAAAATACATAAGTTCACGTTTTAAAAAGAAAGTTGCACGTCCAAAAAGTAAAATTTTATTTCAAAAAAAATGTTTTACAGAACTTGCTAAACACATTCGAAAAGTTTTTTCAAAAATATAGTGCTAACATCGAGTTTAAATGTACCGTCAAACAAGTAATTGAAATACCAACATCTATTAGCCTTATAATCCATACGGATTTCTGATTTTTTGATACGAATCAAATATTTTATCAATCCACAAAATATTTAACATCTCAATATTAATTCCAGCAGTAACAACATTTAAAATATTCTTAAAATAATATTATGCATGCATACAGCGTTAGCTATCCAGTTAGCTAATGGAGCGCCAGAAATAATATCATAATCGTACTAGAATGAAAGCTCGGAAACGTTCTTTCTTGTTTCTAGCTGAAGAGCTCGTATTTTGTATATGAACTTATTTTAGAATATATAATTTTGATTTTTAGAGCTTTTTGTTAAAGTTAAATAACTCGGTTTAATTTAAACTTTTTGATACGCGTTTGTTTACAAATGTTCATCGAAATGTTACCCGTATGAAAGTCCTCTATAGACAAAAAAATTTACAGTGGCCGATTGAACTATGTTCTGTTGAAATACGTCGTAATAGACAATGTATGCTTGTTAAGGGAATCAATATATATTTAGCTAACTGACAAGCGATTTTGTTCAATAGTGTGCCACACGATATAGTAAAATAATATCGTTGAATTCAAAAGTCCATTGTTTTATGAAAAAAAAGTTGTTCTAGCATCAAAAGTTGGCTTGTTGAGTTTTGTTGGTACAATTCACATCATGTAATAATAAAACTCAATTATAAACTGACTGTATTTGAAACTGGAAGAATTGAAAATGGCAAATGTAAACATAGTTTTTGTTTTTGATTTCAACAAAAGGCTTCATAACTATATAATTAATGATTTTTCTTTATTTTTTGTTAAAAAATGTTTCTCATTCCTGCTATTTTATTTAACACGATCCTATATAAAACTCTTCTTGTAAAAAGATACGTCCTGTTGTTTTCAGCCTAATTAATGTCTTCTGATACGACGGAAAAAACAAGTGAAAGTAGATTTAAACTACTCAGATATTTGACAATAGCTAAAGTTAAATTAAAATCAATTCCGTTTAAACGTGATTGTACAAAAGAAATCGTTATATTTTTTAGTGCCTACACATTTTTCTTTATTGTTTTACTAATCACGATCCTTGTTGCGTTTCTTCACGTTCCCGTTTCGAATATTACCTATCTCAAATGGTATAATGATAAATGTTCAACAGATGGCATAGCAAATGATTGTGATCGAAACCTTCGTTTATCTTGTAATTATGGTGTATGTTCGTGTTCGAAAAACATGTATTGGAATAGTTCATTTTGCGATTGTTCAACGGGTCTTTTCTGGAATGGAGACAATTGCCAAATTCGGCAAGTATATAATCAATCGTGTAACAATATAACAGCGCCTTGTATGGAATATTTATATTGTAATCCGGTCTCGCGAATGTGTGAATGTTCACAAAATACATATTATAATCAGACTACGTGCAATTTGAAACTTGGTTATAATTCATCAACATCTTGTATGTTGACTAGTCAATGTCAAGATTATGTTGGTCTCATATGCAGGTAAGTTGATTTTAAATACGTCTTTTCTTTTATTAAATTTTTTATCATTGTTTTTTAGTGGATCGGCATGCATTTGTTCGAATAGCATGTATTGGAATGGTGCAGTATGTGACAATTTGTCAACATATGGTCAATATTGTGGCGGGGGGCAACAGTGTGCAACTTCTTTGTCTTGTAATCTGTTATATAATCTATGCACGTGCCCTGCTAACTATTTTTGGGATGGATTAATTTGTCGACAAACATATACAAATGGAACGACTTGTACAAACATTCAGCAATGTATGAGCGGTTTAGTATGTATGAGTAATCAGTGTCAATGTCCACTGACAAGTACTCAGTATTGGGATGGTTCATCGTGTCAGCTCTGTTATGGTATTGATTTATTTCTATTTGCTGGTATTTGCTATCATATAACACCTCCAACAAATGCAACGTACGGTAATTATTCAATGTTAATTACAAATAAATTATCGACAATAGAGTACGACTATCAATTCGATTATTTATACATACAACATTTTCGTGTATACAATCAGCATCCAATTTATTTAGCCTCAAATAATCCCTTGAGTAACTATTTCCAGTGGTCATACGGGACGACTATTAAACGAAGTTATTTTTGCAATGGGACACAAACGTCGAACTATACTAATTATAGGCTATCGTATAATATACAAACAAATACAAAATGCTTAATAGCTACTTCTACTAGTACTATTGGACAATTAGCAACAAATGTGAATAATTATAACCTTTACGTACTATAAGAACTTGATACTTCGTTTATAATACGATTCAAATAGCAGCAACATTGACGAGAACGTGTAATGTCTCCTAACGACACTCTTCTAGTTTAAATTCGCTTCAAATACAATATCAAAATACGAATAAATTAAACATTTGAATAAAACAGAATAATAAACAAAACAAGCACATTTCTTGACAACAAAATTGAATATTTGTAAATCGAATATAGAACTGCTATGAATATGCTATCTATATTCGATTTACAAATACTTATTTCCAACTGCTCTACCAACAAATTTCAAAATTGAATATCATAGCTATAAGAGTAATCGGATACTTTTTATCATACTTATCCTCTTAATTGATTTTCTGTTACCAATAATTCATCTTACTTATCCTCTTTTTTCATGTCAGTGATTACCGGATGTTCAAGAACTCAATCGATTAAACCAAATCATCTTGGATCTTCTGGACTAAGAAATTTATCTCGTTCCGTCATCTTTTCTTTAAATAAAATGAAACAAGCGAAAATATTTAATTACTACCGAACGCAAAGAGCCTTACCAATAATTTCAGACAATCGTCCAGTATGTTTCACATATAAACAATGAGCCATATTCACATCCTGATGAGGGCGCTGTGTATTGCTTCAAACTTGGCCGTGCGAATCGCACGACCAGGTTTGAAGCCGTTTGACGATGCAAATGCGTGTACTGTATAGACAGAAGGCGAGAAAAGAGTACCGAGATGTGGCGACCTCATTAGGATGCGAATATGGCTCATTATTAGTAAGATTCTTCAAAAATCATACGAGCTAAAAACTGAAATATTTTCACTCTTTTTAAAAATTCAATTTGGCAAATCAATTCGTTCTATTCAAACAGCATCAACACAACTTTATCCATTAATACCAATAGTTGTTGTTTTATAACTTTATTGATTCATAGTAGAAAAGGCCAGCGACAAGGTCATTTTAGATCTGACGTTTTTTAACAATATGTATTGAGATAACAAGGGAAAGTAGATTAAAATCAGAGGGGAAGAAGGAGATAACAGTAACAATCAAATATAAAAATGAAAAAAATAAACTATAAATGACAGGTCCGTGAGATATGGTGGATTTATGGCTTATAAATAGATTTAAAAAGAATTAGACATGCTGCTAGTTTCCAAATCTTTTTGTTTCGCAAATATAAGAATTCACAGCCCAAAAAATACCAATAGTTGTTGAACAAAGTGGACGTGAAGAGCGAGCTTATGATATTTATTCAAGATTATTAAAAGAGTGAGTTATGCTAGTAGGCGAACATTTCTTGAACCGTGTGTGTGCGGTATTTGTTTTTTTTTATATACTCACCGCTGATGTAATTGCTGTCCCTAGTCGAGACTCCCGGCAAAACTCCAACGGGAGTCCCAAGTTTATGAAAAACTCCAGCAGGAATCGTAAGAAGTCCTGATGACTCTCGCAAGAACTTTCTAAAGTGAAAAGTCCAACATGGAGTCATGAGGAGTCCCAAAAAATTCTTGCAGGAGTCCTGTTGGAGAAAGTCATGCATGGACTCCTACAGAACTCCTGTGCAATCCCCGAGGAGTCCCTGCCAACTCCCCATTCACCGTTTGTTTTGCAGATAGGCAATATATA